GCTTATAAATATGTGGATTATATATATATCAATTAGGTGGATTATTAATATGTTAATTAAACCTAAGAAAACTTTAAAATATCATTTGCTTTTTAAAATTACAATAAATCCACTACATATTAACATAGTTTCTGTGAAAAATATATTATCAAAAAGAAAACAGAAAAAGATGAAAATTGGCATAGATTTAGATTTTTCAAATCCCTTTAATGTCTGGCTTAAAAGGATAGAACTAGATAGAAAATGAAAAGAGAGAAAATAGAAAACAGCTAGATTTTCATATCTGCTTCTGCCTTCAATCATTTGCAATGTGTTGTTTGGTTGAAGGATATAAAGAAAATCCAGGTTCATGTAGATATGAGCTTGGAAAAGGGAGGTGCATTTTAATAGTGTTTTCAGATACTGGTGTTTATGCTATTTTGATAGTACACCAAAACTCAACAAGAAGTAGTTTCTTAAAAGCTAGTTGCAATGTGCAATTTGAAACTGTATCAATGAACTTCTTGTGCCCTACAAACTTAGAATGTATTATTTTGAAAATAGTTTTGATCTTGCAGATCCCCTGAAGAGGTCTCAGAGAACCCTCCCACCCTCCAGGGTTCCCTGGACCACATGTCTACCACTGGCTTTCATTGTACTTCTTCAATCAGTTATTTAAGCCAAGGGATGTTGGTTTTCTGTTCACAAAATAATAAATAGATATGTTTAAAAGGAAATTTTCAGTTTAAATAAATCCACTTAAAGAAATATATGAAATAGTAGAGGGTAGGCAGTTACAGGAAAAAATGGGAAATAGTTTAGAAAACAAACCAGTGCATTCCTATAAACCTACCCTCTACTGTATTTATACAGGAGGAAACTACACAGTGCTTCCTCAGCTCTTCTCTTGGCTGGCTCCTTTTAACAGTGAGGTCTTGGCTCTGCATGTCAACTCTTCAGAGAGGTGGTACCCAACTAACCCAGTTAAAGAGGCTTTATTATAGATTTCCAAATCAGTCTTACTACATAGTTGAAATATTTTAATATCATGATTGATGCCATAAAATAACTTTACTTCAGTAACAGTGGAACGTATCAAGTGGAAGTTACTTACAACAGTAACAAGTGTCACTAATTGAATTATATAATTCCTTTTCTACTTGATAAGGCATTAAGAGGAGTAGAAAAATAAGTGACAGTCTTCTACTTTTACTCATAACCTGGTACAACATAAAGACCTGGTCTACTTCATCAAAAGATTGATCATAGTCTTAGGACACAGACATCACGTTAATGGGAAAAAAAGTCAAACAAAGCAAACAATGGATTTTACAATCATAGATGGTCATTAGACTCCATGGGACACAAATTAAACCACTTTAGTCTTCTAAGTCAGTTTCATCATATATAAAGTGAAAGATGTCATTTACATGTCCATATCTGTACCAAATCTGAAATTTAAGTAATTCTATAATCTAACATTCTGTAGTAAGAATAGGCTAAAAAAACTATTCATTTGTAAGTTTCAACTCCCGAATGACTTAGATTTATAGATGAATTCACTTTGCAAAGGTTTTTTGTGTGTAAGATATCAAATTTATCCATTTACTCATTCAAATTTTTGTAAATTTAAAATCAGGATAGGATAGTTAGGATATTAAACATATGTACCAATATTAAAACAGGATCATATTTATGACATTCCCCCCCCCCGGCACAGGTATCAGTTTTCCATCTTATCATGCAACCGGTAACACTTTGCATTGAAATATTTAGTGCCATGTAAAAGAATGCTAGATGTTTCTAATAGGGGCTATGACAAAGATTGAATCATACAAAATTGTCAGTATTCCCGGTTAAAAAAGGTGGAATGTAAGAAATTTCATATGGTACAACCGAATTACTAAGGTGGTGGAGGGGGAAGATGGTGGAAGAGTAAGATGTGGAGATCACCTTCCTCCCCACAGATATATCAGAAATACATCTACACGTGGAACAACTCATACAGAACACCTACTGAATGCTGGCAGAAGACCTCAGACCTCCCAAAAGGCAAGAAACTCCCCACGTACCTGGGTAGGGCAAAAGAAAAAAGAATAAACAGAGACAAAAGGATAGGGATGGGACCTGCACCAGTGGAAGGGAGCTGTGAAGGAGGAAAGGTTTCCACACGCTAGGAAGCCCCTTCGCGGGCGGAGACTGAGGGTGGCGGAGGGGGGAAGCTTCGGAGCCGTGGAGGAGAGCGCAGCAATAGGGGTGCGGAGGGCAAAGCAGAGAGATTCCCGCTCAGAGGATCGGTACCGACCAGCACTCACTAGCCCCAGAGGCTTGTCTGCTCACCGGCCGGGGCGTGCGGGGCTGGGAGCTGAGGCTCGGGCTTCAGGGAGAGGTTGGAGCTCAGGGAGACGACTGGGGTTGGCAGCATGAACACAGCCTGCAGGGGGTTAGTGCACCACGGCTAGCTGGGAGGGAGTTCGGGGAAAAGTCTGGACCTGCCGAAGAGGCAAGAGACATTTTCTTCCCTCTTTGTTTCCTGGTGCGCGAGGAGAGGGGATTAAGAGCCTTGCTTAAAGGAGCTCCAGAGACTGGCGCGAGCCGCGGCTAACAGTGCGGACCCCAGAGATGGGCACGAGACGCTAAGGCTGCTGCTGCCGCCACCAAGAAGCCTGTGTGCGACCACCGGTCACTATCCACACCTCCCTTCCTGGGAGCCTGCGTAGCCCGCCACTGCCAGGGTCCCAGGATCCAGGGACAACGTCCCCGGGAGAACGCACGGTGCGCCTCAGGGTGGTGCAACATCACGCCGGCCTCTGCCACCGCAGGCTCACCCCGCATCGTGCCCCTCCCTCCCCCACGGCCTGAGTGAGCCAGAGCCCCCGAATCAGCGGCTCCCTTAACCCCGTCCTGTCTGAGCGAAGAACAGACGCCCTCCAGTGACCGACACGCAGAGGCGGGGCCAAATCCAATGCTGAGTCCCGG